GGGCAGGAGACAGCGGCCCTCCAGTTACTCTAGTGGGGGCTAGGCGTCACCGGGCAGGAAACAGCGGCCCTCCAGTTACTCTAGTGGGGGCTAGGCATCACTGGGTAGGAGACAGCGGCCCCTCCAGTTACTCTAGTTGGGGCTAGGCGTCACTGGGCAGGAGACAGCGGCCCTCCAGTTACTCTACTGGGGGCTAGGCGTCACCGGGCAGGAAACAGCGGCCCTCCAGTTACTCTAGTGGGGGGCTGGGCATCAAAGGAATTATTACAGTGCCCTGTGAGAAATGCTGAAAAAAGAGGAATAAATGACCAACTCTCTCGATTGGGCAGGGAGGAGGAAAAGGAGGAACACAGTGGATGTGGGAATGGGGAGAGGCCTTCCCAGTGGAGGATTCCATGTGGGAGGGGCCTGGCCTGCACTCAGTGGGGCTGGCTGCTGGGTGGTGGGGCAGGAGCGGGAGGGGAGGCGAGACCTAAGGGACCAGGTCACAAAGGGCCTTGCATGTCACATGGAGTAGGGCTTAGCCGAATTTTAAGCAAGGCAGCAATATCCTAGTTTCCTGGGAGGAGACCAGAAAAAAACATGGCAACCAAATAGTAACAGCACCAAACTCAGTGCTTAACTGAGGACGAGGGCTCACCCTTTTGTGGAGCCAGATACCAGCGCCATCTTTTTTACAATTTAAACTTCGCTAAGTGCCTCAATACAGGAACTTCTTTTAATCTTACCAACCCTGTGAAGCGAACAAGACAGGTAACACCTCCCTACCAGCTTCAGAGATGGAGAAACAGAGCTCTGAGAAGTCAAATGACTCAAATTTGGAACCAAATGTAGAACCCAAACCTCTGAATCCCTGCCTGGTCCTCCCTGGTGACCATATCATCCCTTAAACGCAATAGGAGAAGGCAACTGGCTATGGAACTATGGCCAAGTCCCCTTCCCATTCTGGACCCCCTGTGCCGCAGCTCAGTGAATTTAGAGACTGGATGGAACCTGGGCCACAAATAAAGCCAGTCTTCTCTGAGGAATCCATGAGTGTGGAGGGAGGGGCGTGCTGCTGCCAGGCGTGACTCTGCAGCCACAGGCTTCTCACCTTGACAGACATGTTGTGGATATCTAGGCAGAAGGAGATGCGCTGGTGGAAGGCCAGCTGGGGCTCTCGGGTGGAATAGATGTCAATCATCTCCTTGGATTGGACATAGCCCTTCTCATGGTTGATGCTGGCCTCAATGACACCATCCCGGATGGCCTGCAGGCCCCCAAAGAGGAAAGTTCACCAGCACGCCCATCTTCTTCCTCTTTTTTTTTTTTTGAGATGGAGTTTCGCTCTGTCACTCAGGCAAGAGAGTGCAGTGGTGCGATCTCGGCTCACTGCAGCCTTTACTTCCCGGGTTCAAGCGACTCTCCTGCCTCAGCCTCCCGAGTAGCCAGGATTACAGGCACCCGCCACCAGGCCTGGCTAAGTTTTGTATTTTTAGTGGAGATGGGGTTTCACCAAATTGGCCACGTTTGTCTCGAACTCCTGACCTCAAGTGATCCACCCTCCCCGGCCTCACAAAGTGCTGGGATTACAGGCATGAGCCACCGTGCCTGGCCCAGCATGCCCATCTTCTAAACCAGAGAAAATCTTGTTCCTTCCCATTCCTCTGCCCTCCTTATATTCTCACACTCACAAGCACTATCATAAACTCAACATGTGCACACACCTACACTCACACACTCACATGTGCATCCATTCTCTCTCTGGCAACTTCTTGGCTTCACTGCAAACGACAGGCCCTCCCTGAAATGACTATGCCATTGCTTTACCTATTCCCCTCCTTGGCCAAACTCCTCCCACTCCTGCCTCCTGAGATTGGCAGGAAAGTGACAACCTGGTCACTGTGGTTCCTGAACCAGCCCCACCTTGGCAACAATGAACTCTGCATCTTCGGGGCTATCCAACTGCAGCTTCTGGGCAATGTCGGCCAAGGAGATTCGGGAATAGGAGAGGCTGATCATGCGTACACCTGGGAGAGGAAGGAGCGATGGGGTGGGCAGGGCGGGCACAGACCCTTCACTTGCCCAAGGGTACCCACTAGGTTTGCCCCAGCCTGGCTTCTGCTCCTCCAACAGCCCCTCAGATCCTGATCCACACCTGTCTTAATCACGTTGTGCCGCAGCCGGATGATTAGGGTGTAGGTCCCATCTGCTTGAAACTTCTCCCCAAACTGATCCAAGACCTGGTTGAACTTGGCTAGGTTTCCTGTCCTGACGGCTGCAGGGAGAACAGGAGTAGACTGGATGATGCAAATGGGCACAGGCATGTAAGAGGCCCCAGTGAAGGGGGCCTAGTGGGCTCTGGGGTTGGGAAGCCAGCCTTACCTTGAGTCAGAAGGAAATACGGCATAAGTGAGCGCTTGAGGGAGGGCTGGCGGAACTGCAGCCGGTCAGGGATCTCCCCCAGCAACAGCTCCACTACGATGAGAAGCTTGTGCACCTGGACAGAGTGACAGGGGAACACAGTGGGCAGGGAGCCCCATGGGCGGAAGAAGAAAATGAAATGTGGCCTGAATTCTGCCAGATGTAGTGGAAAACAGGGAAAGGGATCGTTGTTTAGGCCCAGAGAGAGGAGGAAGCCCTGAAAACCTGTGCTGGGCATGGAATCCAAGCCCAGCTGCCTTTGGAGCAGGGTGCTGGGAATGTGGCCCTTTGGTCACATTTGGTCGCAGAGCCCTCAGTTGCATTTCACCTGGCCACCCTGCACACAGTCTGCTCTGAAATGACAGTGCTCTAAAGTGAGGCCAGAAGGGCAGGTGCTGTGGTTCAGCAACAGCGAGGGACCAGGGCTCGCAGGCCTGGAGAACGGAACATGCGTCAGCCAGAGATGCTCACTAGAGCGGCAGACTGTTAGTGGAGGAGAGGAGGTCATCAGTGGGTAGAATTTGTTATCTGGGCAGAGGCAGAAGTGTAGGAAGGGGCCTGGCTTCCGTGAATGAGCAGAGTATCCAGACACAGAAGGGTGGCTGGAAACCTGGGCCTGTCTTCCTCCACAGGACTGTGAGGTATTTCTGAGTGGTGCTGAGTGTGAATTCAGCACCACACAAGAAAACTACAGTGGAGGGAATGATGGCCCCCAACTCAGGAATTCACCAGGCACGGAACACAAAGCAGCTAAATCGTGGGGCAGCAAGTTTCACGGGGAGGCAGGGGTTACAACGGGAGTGTGTGATCACACCCACAGCCAGGCCGACCCTTCACCCTCCACAGGCACCTCCAGGAGGCTGCCCTGTCCCTTGGAGTAACCCATGTGTGAGGGAAAATCCCTGGAAATGGTAATTTATGAAGTGCCTTAAGGAGTCTGACAAAGCAGAAAAAGGAGGGTCAAGGGTACAGATTGAAAAAGAGGCAGAAATGTGTGGGTACCTGGGGAGCTGTTAGGAAAGAGACAGTTGGGACCACGGTCTGGGGACTATGCCATTGCCATTTTGCATGCCAGGCTGAGCAGTTTGAAGTCTGCATGTGGAACACTTGGTGTCTAGTCTCTACTCACTAGCTAGGAAACACTGAGCAACTGGGTCCTTGGTTCCTCATCTCTAAAACTACCAAATAACAATATCAACACCTAGCCTGTCTACCTCACAAGACCGTTACGATGCCCTCCAGCAGTGGGGAGCAATGCAAGCTTCCCAGGCCAAAGAAGGACAGAGCTGGAGCTCTGCTTAGTAAGGCAAGTGAGTGTAAGCTGGGCTGGTGGAGAGGAAGATGATCAGGCAGAAGTGTCTGGAAACGTTACTGGCTCAAACCATAGCGCTGGCAATATCAAGGAACAGGCAAACACAGAAGACATGCAGATAATTTAACAGCCGACCCAGTGACGGGAAGGACGGTGGGGGAGAGTCGGAGATGATGCAAGGCCCTGATCTCCATTGGGAAAGCAGGAGGAAGGAATGGTAAGGGGGCCAGGAGGGGTCTCTTTGGGACACGTTGTAGAGAGAGATATGGGGGGTGGGAGGGGGAGCTGGATCTGCAGGTCTGATGCTCGTGAGAGGGGTCAGAGTTAGTGTGATGGGCTAAACTGTGTCCCCCTCAAGTTCATGTTATAGACCTAAATCCCAGTACCTCAAAATGGGACAATATTTGGACACAGGGCCTTTAAAGAGGTAATTATGGTAAAACGAGGTCATATGGGTGGACCCTAATCCTACATGACTATTGTCCTTCTAAGACAAGAGCAGGACACAGACACACACGGAGGGAAGACCACGTGAAAGCACCAGGAGACGGCCATCGACAAGCAGACGAGAGAAGCCCTCAGAAGAAACCAGTCATGTCACACTTTGCTCTTGGACTTAGAGCCTCCAGAATTGTGATGAAATTAATTTTAGTTGTTTAAGTCGCCAAGTCTGTGGAAGCCTGCATTGGCAGTCCCAGCAGAGTAACGGAGTTAGTAAGGTACAGGCTGAAGAGCACCATGCAGGCGAGAGCTGAAGCTGGGAAAGCAAACAAGGTCACTCAAGGAGAGAATGAGGGTTTTACTATCGACAGAGAAGCTCTCAGAGTGCTCTGCTGAGGCCCAGGTGGTGAGAAGGAGCAGACAGAACACTGGAGGGAAGGGGCTGGCCAGTGCACTATTGGGGAGGGAGCCAGGGGAGACAGGAATGGCCGCTTGAGAGGGGAAGCAGCAGGGGTGGGGGTTTTCCTCCGGGAGACTGAAGCAAACAGGTGATGGGCCAAGCCTGGAAGAGAGAGGAAGAAGTGCGATGGAAAATACAGGTAGCGAAGCTGGCATTAAGTAAAGACAAGGAGGGTGAAAATGGGTGGAGAGAGACATTCAAGTTTACGGGAGACAAGGCAGCTGCAGGAACGAATGCTAGCTGGCCTCCAGCTCTGAACTGGATGAGCCAGCACTGCCCTCCTCAGAGCGCTCTGTGCACCAGCAGCGCTGGCATCACCCAGGGCCCGTTAGGAATGCAGACTCTCCAAATCGGAATCTACAGCTTTATCAGACCCCCAGCTGATTCTGTAAGCTGGGTGGTGACGGGGTGTGTGAGGGCAGAGGGCTGGTTGCAGGCCTTCTCCCAAACACGCCTTCACTTCCGCCCTCTCTCTCCCTGCGCTCCCTCACCAACAGCGCCCTAGCCCAAGGCCTCTCTTCCAGCTCTCTCTACACCTTCCTGCCACTGAGAAAATTTAAATGCCTGAAAGCCTCTCTCATGGTACATGACACATTCTATGTATGTTAATTACTTGTATTTTTAGTGATTTTCAAAAGAAACTTTGGTGTCTCTCACATTGTAAGCAATCTAACATTTTGCTCACGCGCCCAGTGTGTCTGAAAAGCCTTCACTTTTTGTAAAAATCCTACCCATCTCTGAAAGACCAGTTCAATTTTAATGTTTCTTTTTTTTTTTTGAGAGAGTCTTGCTCTGTCGCCCAGGCTGCAATGCAGTGGCACGATCATGGCTCACTGCAGCCTCGACCTCCTGGGCCCAAGTGATCCTTGCATTTCAGCCTCCCAAGTGGCTGGGACTACAGGTGCAAGCCATCACGCCCAGCTACGTCTTTTATTTTTGCAGAGGCGGTGTCTCCATATGCTGCTAAGGTTGGTCTCAAGCAATCCTCTTGCCACAGCCTCCCAAAGTGCTGGGATTATAGGTGTGAGCCCTGTACCTAGCCAACTTTTTCTTTAAGATCCTTTCTCTTTCATTATTTGATCAAAAACAAATCTGACTTTCTCTGAACTTTTGAACAGAAATAAAATGAATCTCCTACTACATTGACCTAATCAACGTACATGTCTCCTGTTCCCTGTCAAGGCACTATGGAAGTGGATGTTGTGTGAAGGTAGGAGCAGAGGTTTAAATTTGGGAAGACTAGGTCTACATCCTGGCTACTGGGCTCTGTAACTTCACACACACCCTTAAGCTTTCAAAAAATTAGCTGGGTTGGCTGGGCACGGTGGCTCACACCTGTAATCCCAGCACTTTGGGAGGCTGAGGCGGGCAGATCATGAGGTCAGGAGATCGAAACCATCCTGGCTAACACAGTGAAACCCCGTCTCTACCAAAAATACAAAAAATTAGCCAGGAGTGGTGGTGGACGCCTGTAATCCCAGCCACTCAGGAGGCTAAGACACAGAATCGCTTGAACCCAGGAGGTGGAAGTTGCAGTAAGCTGAGAGAGGCAGAAGAATGGCGCGAACCTGGGAGGCGGAGGTTGCAGTGAGCCGAGATGGTACCACTGCACTCCAGCCTGGGAGACAGAGCAAGACTCCATTTCAAAAAAAAAAGAATAAAAAAAAAAAAAATTAGTTGGGTGTGGTGGCGGGCGCCTGCCCAGCTACTCAGGAAGCTGAGGCAGGAGAATCACTTGAACTCGGGAGGCAGAGGTTGCAGTGAGACAAGATCATACCATTGCACTCCAGCCTGGGTGACAGAAGGAGACTCTGTTTCAAAAAAAAAAAAAAAGAAAGAAAAGAAAGACCACTTATTATCCTCCCTTCCTATCCCATACAGTGCCTAATACCAGGGTTGATGCTTAAATACTTGCTGACTGACAGTTCTTAAGTGGCCAAGTTTTATGTTTACTTGAGCCACTCAGCCTTATGGAGATTTTCTGGATTCCTCTGCCACAGACAATACAGTTTCCAAATGTGAACATGAAGGACCAGATAAGAACCTGGGGTTTATATCAACACAATCTAGGTCCATGCCTGGAATGGCTGTCAGGCATGCTGGGGAATCAGGAATATTCTAAACCTATCTGCCAAGGAGAACACTCTGAATGAATATCCACTGCCAGAGGTGCAGGTAGTGTCTGCTTTGTGACACCCACAAATAGATGTGAAGCAACCTTTTGCAGACATGGCGGCTCACACCTGCAATCCCAGCACTTAGGGAGGCAGAGGCGGAAGGATTGCTTGAGCCCAGAAGTTCTCACCTGAGCAACAGTGAGACCCCCGTCTCCACACACACACACACACAAAAAAAAAAAAAAGAAAAAAGGTTGAAGCTCTTCTGGATAGGAAGGTTAAGGATGCCTTTCCTAGCCCCTAGCATAGGGAAGAGAACTGAAGTGGTAGGGAATGAGTAAGAGGCAAAGAGGCCAGGCATGGTGGCTTACACCTGTGATCCCAGCACTTTGGGAAGTTGAGGTGGGAGGACTTCTTGAGCCCAGGAGTTCAAGACCAGCCTGGGTAAGATAGTGAGACACCATCTTAATGAAAAAAAAAAGAGGCAAAGGGATGATGGTGTCTGTGGCTCACCGTCTGTTTGAAGCCGACAGCTGTGTGCTGAGGGGCCTTGCGAAGGGCATTGGTCATTGTTCTCCGGGCCTCTGAGTACTCCAGCTGGATGGCTTTGATTCGCCCTGGGAGTGGAGGAGAGGAGAGTTGGTCAACAGAGTGGGGTCATCCAACCCTCCGGACAAGCCAGAGGGCCAAATGGGCCTCTTATGCACCACCCCTTGGAAAATTTGCACCAGGCAGGCCTGAGACACCTCTGATTTGTGGGTTGGGCCCCTCTGCTCACCTGTATAGTAGAGGTACCTGGCCCACTCATTGTTGTTGGCCTGCTCTGGGAACACGGACTTGGACACCAGTTTCTCAGCCTGGTCGTACAAGCTGTAGTGTAGGTAATTCCGCAGCAGGAGGTTCAGCAGGGTGGCCTGCCCATCTGCGTCATGCCGAAGCGTCGCTGTCCGGAGCCGAGCATGCAAGAAGCTTCAAGAAGGAAAGAAGAAAGATATCAAAGACTTCAATTCACAACTCTCTGAACTGCCTTTGACTCTTCACTCTTTTTCCTTAAAAAAGTTATACAAATCGCTTTTCCGGTTATTTGCTGAGTACTGAACTATCGAGTGCCTAAGGTGTAGATACTACTCTAGCTTTGCAAAAAGGACAAAACCCTGCCCTTAGGGAATGCAGCCCAGAGGGGAGGCAATGGTCATGAGGAAGCAGCACAGTGTGCAGCGTGGCAGAAGATGGGAGGCCTGTGAGGTCAGGGGGACCGCAATGGGGAATGTAGGAGGTGAGAAAGATGAGTTGACCTTTTCAATAGCTTGGCCAAGGCAGGACTCACTGAGAAGGGATCAGTGAAGGGAAGGCTTGAAGGAGGCGGAGAGACGAGTGTTCTGGATGGAGGGGCAGCCAGTGCAAAGGCTCTGAAGAAGAGGGTGTCGGGCACACCAGAGGAAAGGCAGGCCAGTGGGGCTGAGGAACAGGAGGAGGTGAAGTCTGGGAGGTCAAAATGGAGCAGATTATGTCAGGCCTTATGAGGTAGTGTGAGGACTTTGCCTTTCCTTTAGATGGGAAGCCACTGCAGGTTTTGAGCAAAGAAGTAAAATATTTTCTAGCCTGTCCCTCCACCCCTAACCCACCTCAGTCCTACCTTGATGTGGGGTGAAGGGAAGAACCTGAGGACAGTTCTTTATAGTCCAGCAGTGACCCACTTCAACTAGCATCAGTCTCTCTCCCACATCCCTCACATGGCACAGGGCATGGGAACCACTGCCCCTCTTTCCTGCTTACATCTACTGGTTCATTGCCCTCTGCAGGTCCACAGTTGTGTGCTTGTGACTGACCAAGTCTCTGACCCTGAGGGCCCCAAGTGAGATCCCTGGTTGCCTGTACCTGCGCACCACATCCAGCTTGTCCAGGAACTCATAGACCCGCGCGTGATAATAGTAACACTTTGCGGCCACAAGGTCTAAGGCCCGGCGGTTCTGAGTACTGATTTTCTGCATCAGGTCGTCAGAGATCTTCTGTGCCTGGGGAGGAAGCCAAAAGATAATTAGGTGGCAGTTCCTCAAAAGGATAAACATGGAGTTGTCATTTGACCCAGCAATTCCTATCCTAGGTATGCAGCCAAGAGAACTGGAAACTTAGGTTCACATAAAAGCATGTACACAAATGTTCACAGAAGCATTATTCGTAACCAAAAAGCAGAAACGACCCAAGTGCCCATCAGCTGATGAACAGATAAACAAAATGTGGCATATCCAGGAGGGAATATTACTCAGCCTTAAAAAGGAATGAAGTACTGACACACACTACAACATGGGTCAACCCTGAAAACATGATGTGAAGTGAAAAAAGGCAGAAACCTAGGGCATGTGGTGTATAATTCCATTTACATGAAATGTCCAGAGTAAGTAAATCCTCCATAGAGGCAGGGCAGATTAATAGCTGCCAGGGGCTGGGTAAGGGGAAAATGAAAAGTGACCACTAATACGTATGGTGTTTCTTTTTGGGGTGATGAAAATGTTCTGGAATTAGGGGTGGATATACAACTTTGGGAATATACTAAAACCCACTAAATTGTAGTACACTTTATTTATTTGTTTGTCTGTTTGATAGAGTCTTGCTCTATCACCAGGCTGGAGTACAGTGGCGCAATCTTGGCTCACCACAACCTCCGCCTCCTGGTTCAAGTGATTCCCCTGCCTCAGCCTTCTTAGTAGCTGGGGCTGCAGGCACGTGCCGCCATGCCCGTCTAATTTTTTGTGTTTTTAGTAAAGACAGGGTTTCACCATGTTGCTCAGGATGGTCTTGATTGACCTCGTGATCTACTCGCCTTGGCCTCCCAAAGTGCTGGGATTACAGGCGAGCGCCACCGCACCTGGCCTGTAGTACACTTTAAAGGGGTGAACTATATCTCAAAAACAAACAGCCAAGTACAGTGGCGTGTGCCTATAATCCCAGCTACATGAGAGGCTGAGGAGGGAGGATTACCTGAGCCCAGGAGTTCAAGACCAGCATGGTTAACATAGCAACATAACATCCAATAAGAACAAAACAGTGGGCCAGGCGCAGTGGCTCACGCCCGCAACCCTAGCACTTCGGGAGGCGGAGGACAGGAAATCACTTGAGCCCAGGGGTTGGAGACCAGCTTGGCAAGAATGTGAAATCCTGTCTCTACAAAAAAACACAAAATTTAGCTGGGTGTGGTGGCGCATGCCTGTAATCCCAGCTACTCAAGAGGCTGAGGTGGAAGGATCACTTAAGCTGGGGAGGTCAAAGCTGCAGTGAACTGTGATCATACCACTGCATTCCAGCATGGGCAACAAAGCGAGACCAACCCCCAAAAACAAACCAACCAACCAACCAACCAACCAACCACCAAAAACAGTGTGGGAAGGAAAGGAAACAAACCAGAGAATTAAGGAGTGGGACTTATTTCCTCAGTGTGCTCCTGTGACAGTGGCTATAATGAACAAAGAAGCTGGCCCTAGCTGGGGGAGTGGCGGAAGTGCAGTATGCAAAATGGAACTATTAGTCCATAATAACAGCTACCATTTATGAAAATATCATGAAAGCTTACTATGTGCAGACCATTGTGCTAAGTATTTCTAAACAAATTATTTTATGTAATGCTAACCATCTTGTAAGGCAGGAACTATTATCCCCATTTTACATACAGCTGGGAGAAATTAATTTGCCTAGGGTACAGCTGGGATTGGAACCCAGGTCTGTCTGTCTCCAAATGCCCCTAATTTTCCCCAAAGAATGTACTACGCTGGTATCCCCCACAGACTGGTACAGCATGACCACTGCGAGCCCTGTCCCACAGTGCCCAGAGCAGGAGTGGGTTCTCCTGGGATGTGGGATCAAACGCATACCTCTATGGAGAAAGAGTGTGGGGGTCAGTTCTTAAGAATCAGTGATTATTTCCATTTCGTCACCAGGGACGCTCTCCCCACCAAACCCCTTGCATCACTTGGGGCTTATGAATCGCTCTCACTGCATTCTGGATACCTCTTTGTAGCGCTTGCTGTTCATCATGAAGATGACCATGAGAAGTTGGAGATAGGCTTCCACTTCAGGCAGGAGGGGTGCCGATGCAGCTTTTCCCGTGCGGGGACGGAACTGTAAATCAGCCTCTGTGTCCATGGGCTAGGAGAGGACAGAAGTTACCATGGAAAAGCTCAGTCAGATCAAGTAACCAAGAATTTATTGAGCATCCACTATGTATTTCAACATACTTATTGAGTGTCTACTATGTGCCAAGATTTTGTTAGGTGCTAGGGATAAAAAAATAAAGATGACAGTCTTTCCCAAAGAAATCAAGGAGGAGTTGGGTGTGGTGGCTCACGCCAGTAGTGCCAGCTACCTGGGAGGCTGAGGCAGAAGAATGCTTGAGGCCAGGAGTTTGAGACCAGTCTGGGCAACACAGCGAGACCCTATCTCTCAAAAAATAAATAAGAACTAGCCAGGCATGGTGGCAGGCACCTGTATTCCCAGTTACTCAGGAGGCTGAGGGAGGAGCATTGCCTGATCCCAGGACTTTGAGGCTGCACTGGGCCATAATTGTGCCACTGTGCTTTAGCCTGGGTGACAGAGCAAGACCCTATCTCAAAAAAACAAAGAAAACAAGTCAAAGAGGCTGGCAATAGAATATTAATAAGCACAATAAAGTGTTACAGGAGAATAATAAACTTCTTTACAGAACATAATGGGGACATAAAGGACGATGTAAGGAACCTTCAAAGAAGCTACAACCTAAGTGGACACATGAAACCACCATACCTGGAAGCACTGCAAATACTACTGGACAGGGCTTAATGAAATAATTCTAGAGATGAAATCAGAATAATGAGACCAAAAAATTGTTTCTTGTGGAAATAAAGAAAATTTGGGGAAAGTCAACATATACACAAAACTTATTTTCAGATTTCGTCACTGACACTGGAAAAAATAAAGTGTTACAGTCACCCACCAAAATAATCATGTTTCACGAGTTTAGAGATGTGAAGGTCAGAAAACATCCAAGGTGGAGCTGGGGGAACAGTACATTTTTCCCCTTTCCCAGACAATAAACTCTTCACTGCCCTACCTTCAGGGATGTTATGAGTTTCCCCATCCACGGAGCTGACTGAGTATACAGGATTTTAAGGAAATGCAGGTGCTGGAAGGTCAGTGGAATTGGAGAAGGCTGAGATCTGGACCATGCCATGAATAATGAGGGAGAGTTCACAGTTACAAAGGATAAGGAGAGGTCTCTCCTGGCACAGAGGCCACCATCACCACCAAACTGACTTCGTCTGCATTCACTATGTGCCAGGCACTATTCTAGGAGCTTTACACTCCCCTCTCTCCAATCCGTTCATCACATTTAACAAATAAAGAAAATGAGGCACAGCAAGATGAAGTCACTTGCCCAAGTCCCACAGGTACTAACTGCCAGAGTTTGGATTCAAATTCAACTCTACCTCTAAAATCTGTGGTTTTGTTTTTTGAGGTAGGGGGTCACTCTGTCACCCAGGCTGGAGTGCGATAGATCTTGGTTCATTACAACCTTCACTTCCTGGGTTCAAGCGATTCTCCTGCCTCAGCCTCCCGAGTAGCTGGGACTACAGGTAGGTGCCACCACGCCTGGCTAATTTTTGTACTTTTTGCAGAGACAGGGTCTTGCCATGTCGCCCAAGCTGGTCTCAAACTCCTGGGCGAGTCCAGCCTGGACTCAAACGATCTGCCTGCCTCAGCCTCCCAAAGTGCTGGGATGACAGGCGTGAGCCACCGTGCCCGCCTCAGCCTCCCAAAGTGCTGGGATGACAGGCGTGAGCCACCGTGCCCGCCTCAGCCTCCCAAAGTGCTGGGATGACAGGGGTTAGCCACCGTGCCCGCCTCAGCCTCCCAAAGTGCTGGGATGACAGGCGTGAGCCACCGTGCCCGCCTCAGCCTCCCAAAGTGCTGGGATGACAGGTGTGAGCCACTATGCCTGGCCCTGACACCTGTGTTCCTCCTAACCACTGTTCTCTGCCTCCTCCATGGTGAAGCTTCAGAGGAAAGAGGCAGCAGCACCTTCTTTCTCCTAGAACAACAGAGAGGTCACCCAACGCAACCTCAACTGGAGTAGGGGGTACAGGTTGCAGGGTAGTGGCAAATGAGTTTGGCTGGGAAGGTCCTGATCCCCTGACTCGGAAGAATGACACTACAGGGCAGTGGACGGTTCCCTTGTCACTGTGCAGATGAGTATTAAAATGGGCTGCTTTGGCTTCTCTCCTCATGCTACCACAGGTAATAACATGGGACTTTAGGATGGAAAACAACGCTATTCCTGGGGGTCTGAGACCAGGCCTGCACCCTTTAAGTTGGCCTGACTCACTCACCTCTTCCAGGAAGGGGAGCAAGAAGTCTCGAGTGGCATTATTTGAAGTAAAGAAGCCCTGCACAGCCTTATACAGAACATAGTGGTTGAGGCGGCGTGATGTGGAAGGCAGCATCCGCAGGGCCCGCAGCACAAATCTCGGTTCCTTGCCTGAAACCGCTTTCTCCAGCTGTTTCACGTGCTCCTTGATGTCTGAAGAGGAGCAGAGAAGAAAATGATGTCACTTCCACTCCTAGTCCCCCACCACTCCAGGCAAGGAGTTCTAAGGAGCCTCTCACGGAGGGGCAAAATGCAACTAATAACCTTTTCTGCCCTAATGGGGTACACAATTTTTACAGATTCCACACATTGATTTTAAAACATAACCAAGTGGCAAGAAAAAAAATACAGTGGGGGTGCAGAATGGGGTAGAGGATGACAGAGGAAGAAAAGAAAAACCAATTAACTAAAGAAACCTGGAGATTTATCAGATCTTAATGGAAAAGACTTTCTAAATGTAAACAATGGGAGAAATCACATACGCACAAAAGATTAATGAGCTTGACTTCATTTAAAAAACCCTTTTAGATAACTGTGTATACAAAAGAAAAATATTTTCAACAAATGTGATCAAAGATTTGTATTTTTATTCTATAAAGAGCTTGTATAAATGGTTAAGAGATATAATGGTATAACGATTATGTTGCCACAGTTTCAAAACAAAAATGGAGATGAACTAATATACAAAGAGGAAAAATAGCTAACAGACAAAAATTATATTTCATTAGTATTTGAGCAATTGCAAATGGAAACATTTTTAAACTACCAAATTAGTAACATTAAAAAAATTATAGGCGGGGCGCGGTGGCTCATGCCTGTAATCCCAGCACTTTGGAAGGCTGAGGAGGGCAGATCATAAGGGTAGCAGTTCAAGACCAGCCTGGCCAACATGGTGAATCCTGTCTCTACTAAAAATAAAAAGATTAGCCGGGCATGGTGGTGGGCACCTGTAATCCCAGCTACTTGGGAAGCTGAGGCAGGAGAATCGCTTGAACTTGGGAGGAGGAGGTGGCAGTAAGCTGAGATCGCGCCACTGCACTCCAGCCTGGGCAACAGAGTAAGACTCTGTCTCAAAAAAAAAAAAAAAAAAAAAAAAAAAAATTATAGAGTACAGTGAAAACTGCATTTCTCCTGGTATAATGTAAATCAGCACAGTTTTTCTGGATGATAACTATCAAAAATCTTTAAAATGTTCAGCCTTTTTAACTCAGGTATATAGGTTTTGGTGGGAATCTGTACTGAAGAAATAATTATAAAAGTAGATTTTTTTAAGTTGGGCACAAAGATGATTGCTTCAAAGTTATTTACGATAGGAAGAAACTAGAAACAGTTGAAATGCAAAGCAGTAAGGGAATGCAATCAATGAGTAGTTTCTTAGGTACTTCTGTATAGTTAACACTTAGCACAGGGTATCTGGGCCACACTAAGATATAATAATAACAGCTGATATTTATGTGCTAGGCACAGTTTTAAGCATTTTAATGTTCACAACAACCCAATAAAGTATTGTACTATTACTCATATTTACACAGATGAGGGAATGGATTCCAGAACTTGTACTACTCTTAACCATTATATTGGGTATTCAATAAATGTTTCTGGAATAAATTGCTGATTATGTTTATGAATGTTAATGAAAACACATAAAATTCAAAATTTATATTTAGTTATGCCTTGATACAAACTATATACATAACTTGCTCTCAATTATAGGAGAGTAGCTCAAAAATTCATAAGAAAAAATGTTAACCATGTTTTCTTCCCCCTGCTTTTAACTTCTCATACATTCCAAAATCTCTGCAATGAATATGAATTACTTTACAACAAGAAAATGAAGTGCCTGTAATAAACACACCCAGTAGGCAATGCTGAGTGGCACCTTTGACATTGGCTGTCACTACTTTAGGTAAAAGGATGTCTATCAAATATTGATCCTGTTGCTCAACTTTACCGTTAAGAGCTGTAGTCAACAGCATCACATCCTCAAAAGTACCACTTAGGAGGATAATTTTCCTTATCGCAATGTTTTTGAGCTACTTTCTCATGCATTTTAGTGAAAAGAAAACCTAGTAAGTAGTGTGGTCCCACTTGATCCAGAACCACGAAAACGGCACCAGGATCACAGTGGGAAGCTCTCACTTTACCCACTTCAAATGGAGACAGGATGCTCTAAGTGGGAAAAGTAAAACATGAACTTGGAGGAACAAGAGGACTACGGATACTTGAAACAGGAACCTCGGAGAAAAGAAATAGGAGACACCGGTGTATAGCAGTTTAGGCCAAAGGTTAGTCTTACAAAACCAAACAAAGATGACACCCGAAAAGTTTTAAGTGTGTGTGTACTTAGACCCTTTAGAAACAGAGGGGCAGTAGGGAACTGAAGGGAGAAGGAGACAGCAAAGGGGCTGTGGGGACACTTCAGTTAGAGAAGTAGGAAACAAGATACTAGGTCGAAATGGTTCATTCGGGGGAGTGTGCTAAAGGCAGCTAGGACAACAAAAATCTGCTGTACAGTTTTAAAAGTCAGGAGTCGATATTCTAGGTCATCCCGGCCCTGTTTACACACGTAGACACAAACACTGGTTTCTAGCGGGATCAATCAGTCATATATTGGAGGCGCTAAAATCAGTCAGGTGGGATATAAATGGAATAGGTCAGAGGGGAGGGCTTAGAAAGGGGAGGACTTAGAAGAAGGAGTCCCCAGGCCCAGTGGAACCTAGATATAGATGCAACCCCAGATATGGGGATGGAGGGGATGGGAGGGGAGTGGTTCCCAGCCTGGAGAAAAGGTTCAGTCATTGGGCCTGGAGTCGGAAGTGTCAGGGCAGCGGGGGCAGGTATCTGGGGGTAATCCCAAGGAACTGAGGGTTGTGGAGGCTGCTCTGGCTTCCCAGCGAGAGGCCGAATCACAGGGGTCGCTGTCACCCGTGATCGCGGCACGTTCCCGGCTTGGGCTCCCGTACCCTCCAAGGTGACAGTGTCTAGCTCTCGCTGGGAGTGCTCAGCTGCTGCCGCCGCCGTCTTGCCGTCTGCCTCCCCCGTTGACCCGCCACCCGTCGCCGCCTCCTCTTTCATCTCCACATCCTGGGGGGCCGGGGGCAGTGGGGGTTCTTGTTCTCCTCCGCCGGGCGGCGGTTTCGCCTTGTCCGCGCCGCGGCGCCGCGCCGAGCCCTCCTGCTTCATGGCACCCGAGGTCACGGCCTAGTCCGGGGACCGAGGCCGGGGCCTCGCGTGAACCGTAGCACCGGGGACCAGGAGCCGAGCCGGGCCTACACACCAGCGCGGGCTGCTGTCGGGCCGCACGATGACGGAGCAGCTGCAAACCCCTTCCCGGCGCTGGGCCTTCTGGGAAAGGCCAGGCACGGCAGGCCGATAGCCGAGTCAACAAAGGGGAAATAAATCAACAGCCGAGGTGCAGGATGAAGGAGGAGCTTCAAGGAAGGAGCTGGGAGGAGCCTGTATGGGTTCCTGGTGCTTTCTTTCTAGCGCTGAAGTGTGATGCTTTTATGTTCCTCTCGAGTGCATTTCTGTGGGCGTCCACGAGAGGTCCCCTCAGGCTCCAATCTGGGTTACAAAGGACTTTAAGAGCATCTCAACCAGCGTGGAGTGAGTACAGTCCATCCGAGCGCGGGGCGAGATAACGTCACGAGTTGCCAGGCGGGTTTTGCGCCCAAGTTCGCTCCCTTTTCCCCGATGGGGGGGTCTCCTTCCAGATCCGCGGGGCTTGGGCTCAACGGCTGCTGGGCGCATCCGGCAGGAGGGAAGGAAAGAAGGCTGCGAAGGAGGGACGTGAAGCTAGGGCTGTTGGGCTTAAAATAAACCGAACTGGAGAGTAGCAAGAATCCTATGGGATCCGGACTTCCTTGATTAGATTTTAGTTTAGTGCTGAAGATAAGGCATACAATTCTCTGCAGGGTGAGCGTGCATTTGCGTAGAATCACTCCAGTTTAACAAAATATAGGGGCCCACCCTATGTACGGCCCAGGGCTAGCAAATAGGGGGGTGAAAAACAGCTCAAGAATGTAGTATACGGGGGAGTCAGATGGTTAGATAACCAGACACAGTGCTCTGGGCTGCGGTGGATTGGGAGTGTTGAGGAAAGAGGGTGGGAGCCACTACTGGCAGACGCTTTAGGGAGCCCGTTGAGAGGGCTTTTATACATCCAGACAGACATTGTGAAATGGCGAACAGAATAATAGTGTGCCTAAGGAGAGAATGATGGTTTACCTAGTGCTGTGCCTAAGGGGAAGCCAATTGGACAAGAAACTCTACCCACTTATTTTTCAAAGGACTCCCCCACTGATTCTGCAGGGAAGGTGAAACAAGGTGAAGGATATAGTTCCCAATTTCTTAGAACACAAAACAAAAACTCTCTCCCTACCTTGAAACTTTTCTCTCTCCCATAAGTGAAAGTCCTGAGTTTTAGACCTTTCACAGACCCTGCAAGAAAATCTAGCCCTGTTGTAAGGACCTAGAAGGCAGGAAATATGTTTTGACCTCCTCCTCCTTTACATATATAAAGGGTATCCTACATATCTTTTGCATCCTCTTTCGTAGGATTGCAGGATGTTCCTTGCATTAAACAGCCACTTGCTAACTGGAAAGATATGTGCTCTAGTTTTAGGGAACATGCCTTGACCAGTTCCTCCTCAACTGTCCTCTCACCCTCCAGGGCTGGGGGATGGATAACAGGATTTTTGAATCATCATTGGAATAAACTCATTAGAACCTCTTCATAACACCGTATCTGCAACTGAAGGTGGGCGAGAATGGTAAGGAAGAAAATAGATGAGTTATGTTCATCCTTAACAATCAAAGGAGTTACTCTTCTGGTTAGTTAGGGTGTTAGCTCATCTCTCTGTTAAGTTTACATCACAAGGAGAAAACAACCAAGTCAGCAGATAACAACCCAGTATATCCATGAGCAATAGAGTGAGGCTTTGGAAGGTGCTCAGGATCAGGGAGGATGGTGGCATAACACAAAGCTTCTGGCAGTTGGTCATAAATTCTTGGTGGTTGAGGGAACCAGGCTGGGCATCGG